ATGTGACAATGTAGGGTGGCATGGTGGGTTTGATTCCAGTCTCGGGCAACTGTCTGTGAGTGGCTTGGAGGGGATCTTGAAGGAGGTGTTCCCATGTATCTGCTGCCCTTGTCCTTCTAGCTGGAAGTGGTTGTGTGTTTGGAAGGTGCTGTCTGAGGATCTTTGGTGAATTTCTGCAGTGCACCTTGTAGATAGTACACACTGCTGCTACTGAGCGTTGGTGGTGGAGGGAGTGAATGTTTGTACAATATTCCATCACAGTACTGTCTTCTTTTTGTAGATGTTGGACAGGTTTTGGGGCATCAAGAGGTGAGCTATATGCATCAGAATGCCTAGCCCTTTTGGAGCTACAGCATTTATGTGGCTGGTCTAGGATGACCTCCAGGATGTTGGTAGTGGGAATTCGGTGATGGTGGGTTTACCTTATTGGGAAAGGTTGGACAGGTTAGACCTGGTTCCACTTGAATTTGGAAAAATGAGAGGTGTTTTTATTGGACCATTTAACATAAAAGATCCAGAGCGGACTGAGCAGGGTTGATTTAGTCATTCGATGAGGACATCACTGGCTAGACTACCTCAGAGGGTAGTTCAGAGTCAACCACATTGCTGTGGGTCTGGAGTCACATGTAGGCCAGACCAGGTAAGGATGGCAGTTTCCTTCCCTAAAGGATATCAGTGAACCAGATGGGTTTTTCCGACAATCAACAATAGATTCACGGTCACTGTCAGGTTCTGAATTCCAGATTCGAACCTGGGTCACCAGGACATTACCTGGGTCTCTGGATTTATAGTTCAGCAATAATACCACTAGGTAGTCATCTGGGCCTGTTGAGAGGGTGTTTCCTATAGTAGGAGAGTTCACAACTAGGTGTCACTGTTTATATCTAAAGGTTCTCCCTCTTGTACACACTAATAAAACATATAGTTCTCTCAGGGCAATGACTTGAAAGAAATTCAGGGATTTACATATACATATTAATTAAAACCTTCTAACTGATTAAAGATTTGACAGCATCTTAGTTTTGTTTAATACATCCTCATCAGTTGATCTGCTACTTATAAATTCTGTGTTCTGTGTGCTTCTTTCTTACTTCACCTGACCAAGGGGCTACGCTCCAAAAGCTTGTGTTTTCAAATAAGCCTTTTGGGCTATAGCAAAAACAGAAGTTGCTGGAAGCTCAACAGGTCTGTCAGCATCTGTGAAGAAAGGATCGGAGTTAATGTTTCCGGTCCAGTGATACTTCCTCAGAACCTTCTAGGACGGGTCACCGGACCCGAAACGTTAACTCTAATTTTTCCTTCACAGATGCAGCCAGACCTGCTGAGCTTTTCCAGCAACTTCTGTTTTTGTTCCTGATTTACAGCATCCGCAGTTCTTTTGGTTTTTATTCTATTGGAATATAACCTGGTGTCATGTGCTTTCTGACATTTAAGACAGAGATGAGGCAGACTGTTTTTGTTTCAGAATGTTGTGGATCTTTGAAACTGTCTTCCCCAGAAATCCATGGAGGCAGGGTCACTGACTATTTTAATGCAAAGGTCAATAGGTTGTTGAGTAACAAAAGAGTCACTGGTTCTCAGGGGTAGGTGGGAAAGTAGGTTTGAAGCTACGATCAAACCAGCATGATCTTACTAAAAGGCAGAGTGGGCTTGAATGACATACTGCTGTTCCCAGTTTGTACATTTGTATGTTCCTTCATTCTGTCCTCCAAGGAAAAAGAGAAAGAGACTGCTATGTTTAGCCCATCTCCTTTAATGAAATTGCAATAAATGGATTTGAAATGAAGAGTTTTATCAAACAACTCACACAGAATATGAATCAGAACCAGTACTTGAGTGTTAAAGGCAAGATGCAAATGAAGAAATGGAGACCCCCTCAAATACCAGCTGCTGAAGAATGGACCAGTTAATCCATCAGTTATCCGTCCATCCAAGCATTGTAATGAAATTTTACAAATGTCTCATGAAACTCCAATGGCAGGTCACTTGGGTATTAGGGAAACACAGGCTAAAATATTAAAATATCTTTAATGGCCAGAATTACCCGCCGATTTTATATACATATCCGGAAATGGGAGAAAAACAACCCTGAATTAAACCTGCACCTTTAAATTCCAACACCAACTATTGAAGAACCATTTAACTGGTTCTTAATAAAATGGTTCTTAATAAATTGTGTAGGACTGCTGCCTAAAACCAGGAATAGGGATCAGTATCTTTTGACAGTTACACATGTTTCAACAAGATTTCCTGAAGCAGTGACTTTGGGAAAAATAAACGTCCAAAATGCTAATGAAAAAGATTGTTACATTTTTACAACATATTAATTACACACAGAAATGTAATCAGATCAAGGTTAAGATTCTGGTGCTACAAATATTCAAAGAATAATGCATAATTTGGGAATAACACAATTTACACATCATGAGGGCAGAGCAATAGACGTTGTCATGCATGGACTTCAGCAAATCCTTTGAAAAGGTTTCATGTGGTAGACTAGTTCGTAGAGTTAGATCACATGGGATTCGGGGTGATCTAGCCAATTCGTTACAAAACTGGCTTAACAACAAGTGACAGAGGGTGGTGGTGGAGGGCTGTTTTTCGAATGGGATGTCTGAGACCAGCGGTGTTCCTCAGGGATCAGTGCTGGATCCATTGTTGATGATCATTTATATAAACAATTTGAATGTGAATATAGGAGGCATGGTTAGTAAGTTTGCGAATGACACCAAACTTGGTGGTATAGTTGACAGTGAAAGTTATCTAAGATTACAAACGGATATTTATCAAATAGGCCAATGGGCTGAGGACTGTCAGATGGATTTTAATTTGGGTAAATGCGTGGTATTGCATTTTGGTAAAAGAAGCAAGGGCAGGATTTATACAGTTAGTAGAGCTGGATGAACAAAGCAGGCCAAGCAGCATCAGCCCCGAAGCATCGGCTTTCCTGCTCCTCTGATGCTGCTTGGCCTGCTGTGTTCATCCAGCTCTCCACCTTGTTATCTCTTTATACAGTTAGTGGTGGGGCCCTGGGGAGTGTTGTTGAACAGAGAGACCTTAGAGTTCAGGTGCATAGTTCTTTCAAATTTGCATCCCAGGTAGACAAAGTGGTTAAGCAGGTGTTTAGCACGCTTGCCTTCATTGCTCAGACCTTTGAGTACAGGAGTTTGGATGTTATATTGAGGTTGTGCAGGACATTGAGGAAACTTATGGAGTACTGTGTCCAGTTCTGGTCACCCTGTTATAGGAAGGATATTATTAAAC